TTAACTCTCATCAGAGAGTACTGTCTGACACTGAAAGCATTCTAAGTGTTTGGGATTTTTTTGAAGTGATCGTGTTGCTTCTTTGTTCTCTGCAATCGCCCAGCAGGGAAGGCTGCTGAGTCCCTGGATTTAGACACTAAAATAACATATCAGTTACACCAGTCACTAAGCACCACAGCTGCCTTATCCCCTTCAGCCTTTNAACTCCCCGCCTTAATTTTTCTCCATGGGTCTGGTCACCATCCCACACGGCTGACAATGTCGCGTGCTTATTGTCCGAAAGCTCCATGTCGCAGAGTTTCTCCGTTTTGTTCAGATCAGAGTAGGTGCTCAGTAAACGCTAGGCCGAGCGGGTGGATGTGGGGTCTTTCTTCCTCTTCCTCCTCCCTAAGGAGGGGCGAAGATGAAACCCACCAAGGCAGGAAATGGATCAGAGAAATGTTCTTGGGACCGTGTGAGTCCAGGCGGTCGCTGAGGACCTTGCTCCAATTCTGGCAGGGACCGGTGGATCCTCTTGCTGGTCCTCTGGAAGGAAGAGAACCGGCACGAGCCAAGCAACCGCCCGCGGGCCAGGTGCCGTGAAGAGCTCGTTCCCGCGTGAAGCCGAAGCACTTCATGGAGCCCTGCCCTTCACACACGATCATTCTCAGCTTAGAATCCTCGGGCCTGACGATGCCATTGACCCGTGCGCGCAGCAGTACGCGGTGCTGAGTTGGCTGGAGAAGACCTGGTGCCCCCTCAAAGCCCCCTTAGCCTGGTGGGAGGGACTGATGGAAGAGGGAACAGCCAGGCCAGCTGTGTGGGGGGCACAGCGGAAGGAGGAGGGTGGGATCTGTTTCCAGGGTGGGGTTTCTGGAAGACCTCCCGGGGTCCCTGGGGGCCACTTCTGTCTGCAGCAGCTGCCATGAAGCGAGTACCACAGACAGGAAGGGACGGAGCCAACGATCACGGAGCTTATTCTGGGCTTCGTGTGGTTCCAGGTGTCCATCCTCACATTTATATCATCACCCTTCTTTAACAAATGAGGAAACTGAGGCTTAGAAAGGGCAGCCCCTTGACCGGAGTCACACCACTAGTAAATGCGGGACCTGGGTATTCCGCCAGCTCTTTAAGGCCAGGAAGGCTGTGCTATTCCCAGCGCACGATGCCATTTCCCAGGCAGGAAGCCAGACAAGCATCCGGGGCTGCTCGGAATTGCATCCAAATGTCCGGACAACCGGCTTCCCTGTGTGGCCATGGGCACTGGGAGGGGAG